TTCCCAAGGTCAGAGACTTTCTGGGATGGAAAGCCCTTCCCCAGCTCCAGTGACAGTGAATTACATCAGTTCATCATTTTGACACTGTGAGCATCACCATGTTGTCTTCACACACACTTCAGGTGTATTTAGAGAAACTAGAGTGCCAGAGAACTCTGCCTAATCAATTTGTTAGTTTCAGTTGTGAACAGCCATTGTTTACTTGACTCTGAACAGATGCAGCTGAAGCACAAATCAGCTTGTAAAATAAATGGGGCTGAGCTTGGGAAAACTCTTCAGCTGGTAGAAATCACAGAACCATTTAAGTCAAATGATATCATGCTGGAGAGATTTTAGGCTAACCTACACAGCAAGGGGTAAGGCCTCAGCTGATGTCAGAGGGAATATGACAACATTCCTTTGGCATCTCTTCCTGTGTGGAGCCAGGTTGGGTTCCAAGGCAGTCATCAGCCAGATCAAACACTTTTTATATGATGCTCTCCAGTGCAAGATGTGGGTGAGTCTTGCAAAACATTTCTGTGGTTACGGGGGGTTTTGGTAGTTACTACATGAAGAGGGCCAGCTCTGTGCCATGGGTCTCATTTAAACCATAGAGGGCTCAGATAAGAATGTGTGCTTTAAATAATACTTCAGTGATGGGGAATGTTATATCCTGAACAAAAGAGGTCTTTAGTATGCATATGCCTGTATTGTTAACAGCGTCATTTAGTCCTAGGGAGCACAGATGTGAGACCTCTCACTATTGCAACATCAAGATGACCTTGGCTAAATGATACTGGAGAAGTCATTTGTAATGGCTGGACAAATATCAAAATACTAGGAACCTAAGATCCATAAGGTTTTATTTACAGATCATTCTGGATGGTATTTCAATTCTAAGGGATATTTATTGCTATCATATAGCTATTAGGAAGTATTTATTTGCTGGTATTCTTTAGGCGTGTATTCAGAAGACTCTGCTTTAATCAATTGATAATGACATGGTTTTTATTAGCAGGAGTGGGAAACTGCTGCCTCTTGCACATGTAAGGCAGTGCTTATGGCAGACAGTTTGAGAACCAGCTGAGTACTCTACACCTTATCACTACCTGGTACATAGCTGTAAAAGTCCCTCTGGAAGCATTAGCTGCAGGAGGAAAGTTGTAGCCATACATTTGAAGCTGCAGTTTGCCCTAATTCCCAGCTAATTACATAGTTCAGACTTGCTTAGTATTACAGCTGAGAAAATGGTAGGGCATGGAAGTGCCAGTGTTTAGGAACCCTTTCCATGTTGCTGGGGCCATTCACCCACTCCACCTTCCCACTCCCAACTACACCACCTTAAAGCCTCTCAGTCCCAGCTCTGTCTGCAGCTGAATCTCTGTAGCTTCAGAATGTACAAAGTTCAACCATCTGAGTTCACTTTAAAAAATAAGTTTGTGTGTGCTAGGGGGAAATGATGTTTCCCTGTGCTAGGGAGGCATAGTTGCTTTCTAAGTAAGCTTATTTTAGCCAAAAGGCAGGAAATCACAGCATGCCCAAACAATTCAGGTACCAGCCCCTACTCAGCTCCCACACCTTTAAACTGCTTGGCCTCAGCAGCATTCATGTGCTTTTTGCTATTACTCACTAGCCAGCACACACCCTGTGGAGAGTCCCCTCATGCAGCAGCTCCTTGGGAGGCCAAGGAAGAGACTGAGTCTTCGTGGAGTCATTTCCTCCATCCAGACTTCCCTCATACAAGTGATTGCCATTTACAAAACAACTGTCCACATACAAGTCCTTCTCTCCATTTCCTCTGCCCTTCCTAAAAATACACATCACACTTTTGACCTTCCTGGAGAATACAACTTTCTGTATCATAGAATCATAGAGCATCCTGAGTTGGTAGCAGAGAAGCTGTTTTTAAAAGCACTTTCTAGCATCCTCCCTTCTTGGGTTTTGACCAATTTACAGGCTTGCAGATGGGCTCTACTACAATTGAAGCTCATTACAGTCTCTAAGAGTTACCAGGTAGCCTTGACTCATTATCTTAGTGTCTTATTAAAGATGGTCTCTTCTGGTAGATTATTTAATTGGTGATCCTCTGTCAGTCAGGGTGAACCCTCCAGACCTCATATTTTTCACTGTGCAATCTGTGGAGAAAGATATGTAGGGCAACCATTTGTGGTTAAAAACAAACAAAAAAACCTTGAATGCCTGTGCTCAAGTTCCTAAAGGTGTCCCAAGTGAAACTAGAAGGAAAGCAAGCTGCTTTAGGTCCTGTGCAAGCAGATCTCATACATAGCTAAAGTGTGCTGCAAAGCATCAGCTGCTCCCAGATAACTCACTGTGTGCTTGGAGCTCCCAGCTCTGGGGAGAAGAAATGCACTGAGCCTGAATTTTTTCTTCTGGTGTTTAATGCTTTTTATTTCCTATTTGCAGTGGCTTGAGATACAGTTACCACAGTTGCCCTGATGCTCAGTAAATTACTGCAACTGAGTCATATATCTAAATTTGCTGATAGACAGCCATGTGGTTTGAAATCAAGTTTTTAAGTGGTTGTAGGAACCAAGCAGAGTTTTCAAGGCTTTTCAGTTTTATTGTTGAAGCAAACAGCAGTGTGAGATACTTGGGTGGTTGGGGTTTTTTTGCAAATTCCACCAGCCTACTAAATACCTCTGCAAGTCTGAGCAGCTCAGTCAGTTGAGAATATGGGATGGGGCCCTTGATCACTTATGATTTTTCTTGTGAAGATCTCAAGATGCAGATCTGTTTCTCTCATTTGAGGTGTATTTATATTCAAGCATTGCCTGAATCCATCTTAAAAACTAAGTGAGCAATAAAAAAACAAATCTGCACTTGAATCCTAGCTCTTCTCAGCATCTGAAGCTGTCTTTGTTTCCACCTAGACATCTCAGGCTGATTTTTTTGTGTTCTTCTTTGGTTTTGTGCAGAAGGGGGCCCAGAGTGTGTTTGAATGTGAGGGATTAAAAATAACATTGCCTATTGCGAATTATGAGGTGAACTTAAAGACAAGTGTAAATAATATCTGCAGAACTGTAAGTATGATCTGTAAGGTGCTGTAATTGGAGGTTGTCTGCCCTGGGTTGATAATTCAAGAATATGACAAAGCCTGACATTGACTGGCCTCTTCAGGAGCAGCATCCCTCCAACTGACTCCAAGGATTCTTGCACTAAAAAAAGACATTTTCTATACACTTCTTGCATTGAAAAAGTTCTGGAATTAGTTGCACGTGTGTCAAAGAACCATTTATGCAGGGCCTACTACCCTTTTATCTGAAAACCTCCCACAATATTAAAAGGCACAAACCAGAAGAGCAATATAGTCTCCCTTGTCGTGAGTCATAAATGAAGTCTAGAAAATAAGCTTTTTTCTTGTGTGTGTGTGTACAAAAACACAGACGGAAAGGCAATGTAAGAATTGTGTTTTGTGAATTTGTGAGAGGGGGGATGACAGAAATTCAAGTGGTAGAATTCAACTTCAGTTTTCAGACCTCTCACTTAGTCCAGGGAAACTTGTGCCCAGGTTTCATTTCTTAAATGAAAACTTAGAAAAATCTCAAATGGGGATGGACATTCTTCTGGGGAAAATGTTTTTCTATGAAAAATGTTAATGAAAAGAAGGTTTTTCCAACCAGAAAGTCTTGTCTCTTGCCTTTTACATTTCTGCTCTTGTCAGGGATGAGGTGACCATCAGGGTAGATTTCAGCTAGAATGGGAACCAGATTTTTGCCAGATGCCATCTCTTCAAAACAAAATGTTTTATTCTTTGTAGGACTGGCAGGGAGAGACTAAAGCAAGGGCACTGGCAAACTAAACTGGTTTTAGAGACAGTACTGTTTGTCAGATATATTCTTTGCAGTTTGGAAGTGGGAAAATAACTTTAAAATCTCTGTGAATTTCAGGTGTGCTCACTAAATGTGTTATTCATATCCTTCCTCAAAAAGTATTTTACATTCCCATGTCATCATGCCCATTATAAGATGTGCCAGCCCCAGACAGACAGACAGGGATAGAAAGGCTGACAAGAATCCATTTTAGCATTTAGAAGCTGGATGTCTTTGGTTGCCAACCCTTGAACAACTCTAACAAGCCCTTTCTCAGAGGCTGGTATTGCTTTCAAAGTAAAGTGCAACCCCACAGCTACCTCAGAAATCTGGATAGCTGAGCTGTGAAAACCCTGTCGTTTCTGACAGCAGCAGTACCCCCAGCTCTGTACAATTCACAGTCCATATTCCATGTTCCCAGTTATTCTGTGCTGCACACACACATTGCAAACAGGAAGTAGGAGCAGCTCAGTTCTTGGCTTCCTCAGTCTCAAGAGACTGCCATGAAACTGGAAAACACTAAACTAAAACTTAAGTGTCTGTTAGACCTTTAATTAGCAACCTAAGGAGTGTTTGCCAAGAGGAAATTTGAATTCAATTATCCAAATAGAAAGTATTTAACCTCTCAATAGCACTCAAGTAATTACAAATCTTAGGTGTTGTTTCATTTTGGGAACCTTAAAAAGTAAAACAAAAAATGAAGTGCAAATGGGAGAAGCTGTCAGTTTTGTATCACATGGAGTCTACAAAGGAAAGCTGTAATATTGCCCATGATTTAGACTCACATGTTAGCACAGAAAGGGGCAGCCTCAAGCAGGGAGAGTAGGTTGCAGGGTTTGTGATTTCTCCACTGAAACAGCCAGCAACAGCAGCAGGGCCAACAGCGTGAGCTTTATAAACACACAACTAAGACCAGCAGGTCACCTCACACAGCTTTTGATGAGATGGAGATGCTCTGTCAGTGTCAGGAGAACTGGGATGCATCAGAAGAGGCTGTATATTCCAGTCCATTTTGCAAGCATTACCCAATACCAGCCAAGCCCATTTTCATTTTACGTCACAGCAGCTGTTTCATCCCTGATCCCAACTGTCCTTTCACTGTACATCCATCCACCCACACAAAAGGTTTCAAGAATTAATCAAAAGGAAAAAAAAGGAAAAGTAATTATTTTCTTGATTTTCTCTTCACAGACTGTAGGTTGCTTTGGGATTATGTTTATCAGCTGCTTTCTGACAGCCGGTACGAAAATTTCATCCGATGGGAAGATAAGGAATCGAAAATATTTCGGATAGTGGATCCCAATGGGCTGGCTCGTCTGTGGGGAAACCACAAGGTAAGGAAGCAATGCCATTTTCCTCCTGCAGCACTTTTCCTACTTTGTCTCTTGTAGCATTATAGGATTCAGTTATAAGCGGGGGGAAAGAAGAAAAGATGGCATATAAATTAATACTGGAAAACTGTAATCTTTTATTCTATGTACATTAGAAATTCAAAGCATCTATCCTGAAGCACTAAAACCTATTCTTCATGTAGAGAGCTTGTTGGTTTGGTTTAAAGGCCTTTAGTTATAAATGCATGTAATTATGAAATTATAAGGAGTGCAAGAATTAACAGTCCTTCTCTCTCAAGACATTTTACTTCTTCTCAAAACCTGTTGCTGAGGATATTCTGGTGAGATGTAGTTTACAAGGAACTCTGTACTACAGAGCAGGAGCTTTCTGTGTTCCTGTCTGCAACAACTCCCAGATTCCACAGGCTGCCCTGTGACAAACACCAAGTGCTGCAGGATTATGTATTTCCTTCTAAGAGGGTGGTTCCTGGTTTGTTCTCTGGAAAGCCATTACTGATTTTTATCGTTTGGGGCTGAGTTATGTATAGATATTCCTGTATATGTATATAAGTATATTCATATTAATATATGAATAGTCAGCATGAATTTACAAAAGGGAAATCATGCTTGACCACTGTGATATCCATCTACAACAAAATTATTGGCTCAGTGGATTCAGGGAAAATGATGGATATAGCTTATCTTGATTTTAGAAAGGCTTTTGAAACTGTCTCATAATAGGCCTCAAGCACAGGCTAATTAAGTATGACCTAGACAAGAATACAGTGAGGTGGATGGAAAACTGGCTGATCTGCTGGGCTGCAAAGATGGTGATCAATGGCACAAAATCCAGTCACTAGTCATTTTACCCCAGGGATTGATTCTGGGGGCACTACTGTATGTCTGTTAATGACCTGGGTACTGGGACAGATTCTCAGAGAACACAAAACTGGGAGGAATAGCTGACACACCAGAGGGTTGTGCTGTCATCTGTGTGGTTCTGAACATGCTGCAGATATGGATTAATGGGAATTTTATGAAACTTACAACTTACCCAACCTGCGCATTATTAATTGAGCCATGCCATTAGGTCCCATGCTGGGTGTCTAAAACTGAAGCTCCTTCAGACCATTGGCCATTTGGGCAACACAGTGGCCTTTCAGCATGTCAGTAATGGAAGAAGCACAACCAGTATTTCAGGGAGGTTCCCAATGAGTAGTCTAGATTTTGCAGGGGAAACTTTGTCCCTGTTAGTGTTTCATTGCCACAGGTTCTTGATGAGGCCTCCCATTAGAGAGTTACTGTAGTCAGGGCAAGCAGAGGGGGTCTGCTCTTACTGTGTGTTTTAGGCAGGTGGATCAGTCTCCTTTGATGGAGCCAAACTCCTGCCATGGAGACTCCCAGAACAAAAACATGCTTCTACTGGTTGGGTGTTTTTTGTCCATGGCGAGGGGCTGCTTTACACTCACGCACACACGGCAGAGTTGTGTCTCTGCCAGACAGCAACCACTGCTCCTTGTGTAGTCATAGCCCAAGGGGCTGATCCTGCTCCTCCAAGTCACTAATTTGGGGGCTGCCCACAAACAGCTCTGCCAGTGCCTATCGCTTCTTCCTTGTGACATTCAGCTTCAGCAGAGCCATCTCCTCTGGGAGCTTCGGAAGGTTTTAATGAACCATCTCACACTTCAGTATACCTCAGTGCTCTGGCCGTGGCCTTTGGGGCCAACAGCTCCCAGAATGAAGGGAAGGATGTGTCACAGAGGCAGATGTACAACCCAACTGGTTTCTTGGTTTACACCTGTGTAACAAGAGGAGAAACAGGCTATGAGTCCTCGCAGAGCTCTGTGAGCATTAACTAGTTAATGCAGGGGAATCCCAGAGGAGCAGTGCTCCAAGCAGGGATTGCTGACAGATTCAGCCTATTAGCCACTACTCCCAGCCTTTTACAAAAGGTGTTTTCATTAAGAATAGGCCTGTTACATCCCACTTGGCATGAGCACCTTCCTCCACCTAATGTATCCTCTTGTACTTAATTAAGTCTTTTGTTATCTGTGTTCCAAGAAACTGTAGAAAAACCTTGCTTGGAATTCTTGTTAAACTCCTTGCTTAAATTGCCCTGTGTGGAAAGAGACCCACACAACTTTGGTGATGAGGGGGGTGAGGGTAGAATGGGCCTGCAAACAACAGAAAATGGTACGTGTAATTTCTTGGACTGTCTTGGTTACTTTAGGTAGCTGGGATAGTTCTGCAACTCATTTTGGGGCTTAGGAAGGTTTTAATGAATCATCTCACCACTTGTTTTCCTTTCTTCTTTTGAAAAAAACAGAACAGAACAAATATGACTTATGAGAAAATGTCCAGAGCCCTACGCCACTACTACAAACTAAATATTATCCGGAAGGAGCCAGGACAAAGGCTTTTGTTCAGGTAATTTTCTTTCTTTGCCATTTCTTTCTATGGACAGTTAGTTTTTGAGGACGGAAGATGGAATTGTGTGTGGGATACCTCATTGCCACAGTTATAACACAGGTGAAGAGGGCCATACATTTGTAAAAGCTGTATAAAGCAGTGCTTCCCAGCTTTTAAGGCAGCCACACCAATTTGCAGAAAACACAGGCCTGTCTCAATGATCAGTGGAGACAATAGAAGTCTTCCCACTGCTTTGTGCAGGCTGTGTCATTGTTGAAAACTTTAGATAAATGGGTTCAGTCAAACTGCTGGAAAACCTACTCCAAATGGACTCCTCAAACACAGCTGCCTCTGAAAGCTGAGCAGGGATCAGGCATTTTCTCAAGGGCATAGCAGAAGAGAAGCACTCGATGACCGTGTCTTTGGTGCTGCCTTGAAGGAAGAGAGGGAGCTGCAAGAGCTGATCATAAAACCCAGCACAGCTGATTGGGTGATACAACCAAGAATTTAGGAAATAGAGCCTGAAACAGCATTAAAGCAGGGAGCTACTTGTACAATCTTGAGTGCAGATGGCACAGAGTGAGAGCACTCCACTCCTCTTCAGACAACACCAGCAAATCCTGGTGCACGTCTGACCCTCAGAGCACTGAACTCAGACCAAAGACTGCTTTGCTGTCAGTGGCCTGGATCTAGCAGTGTGTTTGGACATGATAACAATAGGAAGGCAGTCTTGGAATTTGTTTTCTTAAATAGCTAACAGAACTGCATTAGCACTTAAACACTCTTCAGCTGAAAAGGGTTCTCTGGAATGACTAGTTTATGTCAGCTCTTAGAAGGAAACATAGATGCAAGAAGGAGAGTGATAGAAAGAAGCAGCCATGGGCAAAAGCAAGTGCTCAATAGTAAATTTTTTTCTTGTGGAAAGTTAAAACAAGGTTGCTCCATCAGTACGAGGGGTACCTGTATCTCTGTGGCCTTGTGTGAAGAGTGCATTGTCCTGGGGGAATTCCTGATGCTGAACATTGAATGTGCTTCTCTTGAAGCCTTCCCTTCAGTGGGGTATACACAAAACAGGAGTCCATCTCTTCTCAACCAGGCTGCCTGTTTTCTCAAAACCATTTAACTTAATGCCCTTGGAGACCTCAGTTGCTCTGTCAGACTTGGCCAATTTGACCAACAGATTCAAAGGTCATCAGAGAGCATAAAACATGAGCTATATAAACTTCATTTCCTTTGGAAACTGGAAAAAAAAAAAACCAGCTAAACATTTCTTTGCACAATTCCCAATAAAAACTTTTTGATGTTGTTTTCTTAGACCTATTTATATCTGAAGCGAAAAAGAACAGCTGCAAAAAATCAAGTTATTAATGTGCCTTTCTTGGCTATTCCTTGCAAGCAGAGATATAATAGGAAATGTGACTTTAACATGCAGGCAGTTGTCATCTGCAGATACCTGTATGGAGCTTTAAGTAAGATGGAGTCAGAAAAGGATTTCTAATAGGTTGGCTGGGTGTCTTCTGCAACAAAATAGGTTACACATAGTGTGTCTTAATTTTCGTGCAGTTCTGGGTTGGGTTGTTTTTTGTTTGTTTGTTTTATGTAATCAAATGCTATTAGAAATACCCACACTATGGTTTCCTTGATGTGGCTTAAAGCAGAGACCAGAAGGGATACCCAAAATCCTGTGGTGCAGCTCACTTCGGCCATGCCCCACATGGAAGCGGGGGTGGCTCCCATGGCAGTGGGACCACTCTGTGTTTTGATTTCATCATCATGCAAGATCACCAGGACAGTCACAGGGTTTAAAACTGGGCACAGTCTGGCCGTGGGCTGTGGTGCATTTCCAGTGTGTAGACAGGCACTGACTGATTCACCACCCCTGAATACAAGTTTTTCACCACTGTAACATCGTTTGTTGCAGCAGCAGTGACACAGCAGTGAGTCATAGCCCTTTTTTTCCTCCTAAATGCATATATGCACATGATTTCCAAAATTAGAAGGGATGGCAAAAGGTTACTTCCAGGCTATGCTGTGTTTGCTGAGAGACTCTAGCAGTGACCATTCTGAGTCAGTGATAGTAACGAGGCTTCTGCTGGTTGTTTTTGTTTTCACTAGGGCAAGGATACTGAGCATATCATCAACCTGAAATAAGATCAGGTCTTACAATTAACACATTTCATACTGCTGCATGTTAACCACTAGGTTGTTAATGAAAGACTGTGAAATTCTGTACCACTTCCAGCATAAACATCTTTCATCCTAATTTCTCCAGAAGTGCAGGGGAGTTGGGAAACTGATTTGTGTTGAAACCAGGGTTTCATCCTTCCTGTGCCACTCTCTCCTCCTACATCATAAAATTGAAAATGAAAATTTTCTGTGCTGTCTCTGTGCAGTAGTACACAATAGCATCCTGGCAAAAACCAAGACTGCAGACTTAAACTGCAGGCTGGTGGATGTTGTTTCTCATTTCCTGCTGCTGCCATGCCTCCCCAGAGGCAGTTTCTGTCTCCAGCACCGTGCAGACTTACTGCCTTGAGACACTGGTGCTGGGAGTGTCGCTCTTTACAGAGGATGCTGCCTCACTGCAGTCACACTTTCTACAAGCACACAGGAAAAGACTGTATTTGCTTACAGTTCTCTAGCCCTAAACCTTTTTCCTTCAGGGTTTTTTTCGTTCCTGGAACTTATTCTGAGTTGGACCTTGGCTTTTTTCCCCCTCTGTTCCTTTGGTGTTTCATGTTCTTCTCACTCACCTACATGCAGGCCTGCACAAACCAGTAACCCTGTGCCTCCCCACACCTTGTAAGGGCTCGTGCTTTGAAATACGCTGATCATAAACACCTTTCGTGTCTCTGTCACAGACACCACACATGAGTGTACCTGGGCCAAGCTGTCATCTGACATGAAAACAGCAAACAATATGAGGGAGAAGAAATAAATATCATTCTTTGGAAAAAACTATGGGTTTGGTTCCGATTTGGGCTTTCAAGAAGCCAGGGTAAAGGCCGGTGATTTCTTTGTTTCCTTTCAAGGTATAGAGGAGGGAAGATACCTGGGGAGAAGCTGGTAAATACTAAGGTTTTGGGAAGATACAGCAAAGATTATCTTAACGATTTGATGATGATAAAAGCTGAGACCCCTGAGAAATGCGCTTGTTTCTCCGTTTCGCAGGTTCATGAAGACCCCAGATGAGATCATGAGTGGCCGGACAGACCGCCTCGAGCACCTTGAATCCCAGGAACTGGATGAACAAATATACCAGGAAGAGGAATGCTGAAGGAAACAGGTGTGCCACCTCTGTGGGTGCAGGGGAGAAACATCTGCCTGATGCTCGGCACGGTTTGGGAGGGAAAGCAACAACACAGGAGCAGTACTTAGGTCGCTGCTTAGCCTGAAGACCACGCAGGACCTGAAGCACCTTAACAAAGCTAACTAACCGGCAGAAGTGGTGCTGGCAGGAAAGCAAGGGGGAGAAGGCCCGGACTTACGCACTGCTTTGCTCTTCTACCGAGTCTCCCTCGAGTTTTTTCTTTCTTTTTGGCTTGTTTCAGTTTTGGGGGTTTTTGGACATTTTTTTCCCTAATAAACATGCAGTTTGACTTTCCTTATCTCACATGGGACAAGACATCAGATTATGCTTCTTCTTTTTTGGTTTTTTGTTTTTAGAAGGCTTTCCTATGGAAATAGAGTGCTCTTATTTTCTGTTCAAGTCTCATGACACAACACTGCATAAACAATAGCAACACAGAAGGGATTTGCTCAAGGCTTCCAGTTTGCTTGGATCAATTTATCTGTGCTGCCACTGGGAAATGTGTTGAAGCTACCAAAAGAATTTCTCACACATACCTGTCAAATGAAGAGGAGACACCCTTCACATGTAGGCTGGGCTGTCATCCCCACATAGCTTGGGCTCACACAGAGTGCTCCGAGTGGCTGTTAACTGCTGGAATATGGACCAAAACCAATCACCTAAGTGCTCCAGAGAGGAGAAAAATAAATGTGACAAACCTTTGCAAGTGACTATCAGTTAACATTTTCCCTCCTTCTAGCAAAGAAGTGATAGAATGGAGGAGGGGGAAGGGAGGGTGGGGACAAATACATATATATATATGTGTATATATATCTAAAAGTTCCATATATATATAAATATATATATAGTCCTCCCCAGTATATTCACAACGCAGAGTTGTGAATTTCAGTTCAGAGTTTTCTATAAAAAGGAAAGACTGAAACATCTGTAATTACAGAAGGAAGGGGTGTTTCTCATACCTGCTAGCAATTTTGGGGTGAAAGGTGAAGTACTGTTCCTTACATCACAGGGAGAAAGCAAAGGGACTCATCACATGGTTTGTATTACTCAGAAGCCTCTCCAGGATCATTTTGTGCTGCTGGAGAGGCAGATGATTCACCACTCCAAAATCTGATGTTAGAGAACTAGAGACCAAATAGCTATACTTATATCTTGTAATTGATTTTGGCTTTGTTTTGGGATTTGTTTTTTGTTTTTGTTTTTTATGCCTCCCACTGCCCTCCCCCATCCTACAGCTCTGCCATCAAGGAAGCTTGTCCCAGCTTGCCTGTTTTTAACATGATTTAAGACAAGAGAAAAACAAACCCTACACCCGTGTTGCTTTCTTGGTTTGGGGTTTTGTTCTGGTTGCAAGATGCCTCCATTTGGTTTGCTGCACTGAGGGTGTTTGGCATTAGGCAAAGAGATATATCTAGTTTGGTCACAGAAAGCTCAGCAGGCCTTGATGCCCAAACAAGAGAAACTGCTGGCCTGTTTCATTTCACAGCTTGAACCACCAGGACAGGAATGTCTGTGGTGTCCAGTGATCCATCAGCAGTGGTCCTTTGAATGGAAGGAAGATCTAGCAGAAATGATGCTTGCAGAGGTAGGAGCTGTATAGGAAAACTGCAGGAATCACATGGTGCCTGAAAGAAAGCACGTCCACAGCAGTGCATTAAAAGCAGAAAGCCTCTTTAATGGAAACATAAAAGAAACTAGATCTGGAAAAAAATCAAAATGCTAATCTAATCCATTTCAACCAAAAAACAAGGTACATTCCCATGATAGAGCTTTTATCAGCTATTAAACCAACACAACATTTGCTCTTTCCATGTATTTAACAAGAGGGTTAATCTATCCAGGAAAAAATGTCACTTTGCAATGAACAGTGTCCCCTGTGTTTAAACAGAGATAGGCCAATCTCACCAAAGACTTAATATTGAGTCACAGGTCGTAGAAGGAACAGCTTTGTTAAGGGTGTAGATAAGCATCGTACAACAAGGAGAGATTTTTCCGAGCCAGTATCTGATGAGGAATGACAGGGTGTACATTTCTCCCTGAGCTTTGCCTAGCCACATTTTCCTATAAAATCTCAGTAAGTTAAAAGTCCCAGCACACCACATATTAGATCTGTTCTGCCTCAAAATAATGGACAGGGGAGTGTTTTTTAGCAATGTGTCACCTGTCTCTGTTGTGACTCTGAAGTCCTTGGAGCTCATGAGGCGTGAGATTGGGAGACGTGGGACTTCAGTAGTCACAGATCTGAAACCTAAGGTCCCTTCAGACCAAGGGCCCAAGGAGTTACTCTGTCACATTGCTCAAGGGCCCCCAGCTTGCAGCCAGGTCTCAGGAGCTGGAGTGAAGTGGTGGATTTGATAGATGGAGTGTAATCAGAAGTACCAATCTAAAGAAAGGCTCTGGCTGGATCCTTGGTTGTCCAGTGGTAGAAAGTTTTTGCAGATGATTCATCCTCTTGACTGCTGTGGTCTAGACAACTGCGTAACTGCAGTTCTTTGTCCTGCTGTTACAAGATGGTGAGGGACCAAAACAAAACCAATAGAGACTTTCTGTATAAAGTGCTCTGATGAGTCACAGCTTTTTGTCATGGCCAAGGTGCACACTGCAGAATACAGAGAACAAGAGACAATCCACCCATTTCCTCACCATTATCTATCAAATTAGGTCCATCCTCAGCACCGGGTAAGACAGGAAAATTAACGCATTGTCCTGTAGGGAAGCTTTGTAGTGGAAATGTTCACCTTTACAAAAAAATGCAATCACTTCCACTGCAAAATCTCAGTCAAAGGGGAAGAAATGTTTGTGGCTGTTGGAAACTTCCCAGTTCACGCATAAAGGACATCTTAAGACAACATCATCAGAACCACAGAGAAGGAGTTCTCTCAAGGCTGATGCTAGCTGGAATGAAAGTAGCCTTTGACCTTGGAAGAGGCCAGTCCCACAGAGGCCCTTCCTGTCACCTGCCAGCTCTCCAGGTGCCAAAGGGAATGGTGTGGGTGACACTGGAGCTGCCAGGGCTGCAGGGCCTTGGGCCTGGGTGGGAACTGCAGGATTTGAACTGCTCTTGGGATCTTGAAGTGAGTTTACTAGGTATGACTAAAAATAAAAAAGTAGGCAGACGAGAGCAACTGCAGGAGAGAGATTCCCACTGATCTCACATCCACTGGCAGATCCATGGGAGTGCAAAAACAGCATTAACATCCTGAGCCATAGGAATGCATCGCTGCCTGCCAGGGCTAGCAAAGGTAACACTGTCTTTCCACCAACACTGACACCTGCCTTCCTCCCCTCCCCCAGTTTCTGATTTCCCAGTGTAGAATTTGCCAGCAGCAAAACAGCCAAACTTTCTGCCTTTGCCACCAGAGCGAGTGGGGAAAGGGAGAAAGCGTTTTGTTCTTGGAGACACACAAAAGTCACCTGGACACGGTCCTGGGCAGCTGCGCCTGGCTGGCCCTGCCTGGCCAGAGGGGTTTGACCAGATCCCTGCCAACCTCAGCACCCCGCAAAGTTCTGAGCGGTTTAGTGGTTATGCAAAGGTTAAGTGGGACTTTCATTGTCCTCAGCTTGCTACAAGCCTCAGCAAGCCACAGGTCAGTCAGCTGGGACATGCTGCAGCTCCACAGCAGAATATTTTCTTGAATAAAGTTTGAAACCTGTTGACTGTCTCTCCATCCAGAGAACACTACTGGGACCTTTCTGTGAACACTAAGTTGCTGCCATCCTCCCCGTATTTCAAACTCCACATATGCATTCTCCAGATCCTTTTTGTCAGACTGCAACTGTACGCAAATCCAGCGTTTGAGGTCTTTTTTAAAAAAAAATAAAATTCTAGTGTTTTTATTGATGAAGGCTTTTGTTTTTTTAAGGTGTGGGGCTAAGGGACTGAATCAAATGAATGTAACAAAACAGAAACAAACAAGCCTATTCTCAGGGCCAGTGAGTTGCAAATAATTTTTTAAATGCTTGTAATTACATCATCTCAATAAAAAAAAATTTAATATAAAAGCAGGAATGCCAAATTTGTTGGTGCAATCATTGCTACAAGGCTATTTCTTTTTAGGAGACATGGTACCTAAAAGCAGCACACAGCAGCTGTTTTCCATCAGGAAATTAAACCTGCAGGCTCCCCCTGCCCAAACAAGTATGAGCAGTGCCTTGATCTTCCCTGGGTAGGGCTGAAAAGTTACAGCTATCCCTTGAAATATTTACTTTGCTGTCTGTCCTGAAAGATAAGCCAAGTACTCCTCTAATGACTGGATGGATGCACCTGGTTCTGCTTCCTTCTCTTGGAGTGGATGTAGAAGAAAAAAGAAAAACCAAACCTTAGTTGCTGTGATGACTGATGCATCTTTTTAGCCGGCTTAACAGGCCAGATCACAGACTGTGAGAGCAAGAGCTTTTGAAGAATACTCATCTTTGCAAACCAGTCTAGAAACCCAGCCTGTCTCTTCCAGCATAGCAGGACTGCATTTTCAAGTGGTCATCCCTAACCTGGAGGTGAGGGGAGAGCAAGATGAGGTGAGACAAACTGCTCCTCACTGTCCCTGTCTCCTGCATGGTGGGGCTTCTGCTGCTTTTGACAGCGTGAGGCCTCTGAGGGGCTTCTGAACATCCCTGCTCCAGAGATGCCACCAAAAGCCACACCAAACAAACACATCCTTGCTCCAGAGAGCAAACACTGACCTCAGTTTGAAACCCAAGCAATGGATTTCAAACTTCCAAGCAATACAGAAAGAGCCACTTAAAAAAGATGTGAGGAGAGAAAGGATGCACTGCCACAGCATGAAGCCCAAAACCAAACGTGCTTCGTTAATCACCTGAAAGAAAAGGTTGGTGTGTCAGTGTAAGTATTCTAACAGCACAGGAACAGGTGGATCTGCCACATGTCAGGTGTGCCCATCCTGGATTCCCACACACCCGGGGATCTGCTGGTTACACTGGGTTCGCCACAGGCACACCTTGCTCAGTTCTGCTGCAGCCTGCTCACCATGCAGAACTGCAGGCTGAGCTAAATTACATCCACCTGATGGGAGAAAGATGCAACTTCATGAGCTAGTTCAGAAGAAATGTCCCACTGCACGTTGCCATCTGGCCATGCCCAGCAAGGGGGAGGCTGCAGAGGGAGGAAGGGAAGGTTTGCAGCCTGGTTCAAGCTTTCACCACCCCAAGCAGCTCCTAAGAGCCCAATAGAGAGCCAGGTGAGGATGAACTTCCCAGGACCCACTTCCAACATAACTAAGGATGTGAGGTGTGAAGAAGTCAATGCCAGGGCAGCCAGAACTCCAGCACAAAATGTAAGACAGGACTGTGCCAATGGTGAACAAAATCACATCTGTTTCTTCATTCTAGGTGTCCCTACCTGTTTTCCACAATCAACGGAGAAGTTTTATATAATTTTGAAGTCAGAGCAGCAAAAGAGGGGCAAGAGCCTCTCTCCCTGCCTTCATCCCTCCGTGCTCTTTCCTCACCTTGTTGCCTTGAAAAAAGGGGAATGGGGTGTGGATGCTCAGCAACCAGCTCAGCCTGAGCTGGGTCTAACAGTGCCAATGTCACCAGTGCGTGAAACAGCCTTTTTCCTCCTTCCCTCTGGCAGCACTGTTGTAGCCCTGCTGTAACAGCCCTCACTTGCTCAAAAGGACAGCACTAACAGTGCTTAATGACCATTTTCCTGGGTTAGTCATCAAAACTCGGGCAACCTGTCTGCTTACTGACCATCTCTCCACCCCTGGCTAGATGTCCAGTGAAGGGCAAGGCTTAGGTTGTTACTCTGCAGGACACCCATTTCTTGGGATTCTTGGCAGACTGGGGCAGGCAAAATGTACAAGTGGGAAAGAAGTAATCTGGCAATTGCTACAGAGAATTGGAGCACTATACCTGTTTTCTTCAGTGTTGTCTATTTGTCAACAAAATCAAGTGTGTGCATCTCCTCCATCCTCAGTGCCAGCACAGGACCCGGCTGAGATATCAATTTAAAACCAGGCAGACCCTCTTTGTGTCACAAACATTTAGGGGGGAAAAAGGAAAGCACAGTACCCTATCTATAGGACAGCAGAGGTTGTTGTGGCTGATACAATCAGTTGTAAAACCTGCAGGGACACATCAATCTCTCTGCCTCCTGCAAACACCTCTGCATAAAGTTTCCCAGCATCTCAAAGTGCTGGAGAACAGCCACAACAGGAAGAATGATAACTGTTCAGGAATTAGAATTGATCTCTTACTGCCTGATAAACACTGTTAGCCTGGGGTTGTTGACTTGAAGCCAAGTTCTGCTAAATGGACAAAGTTTCCAAGTCAACCCTTCCTGGTGTTTGACAAGGTGAAGGGAAGGAACTGAAGACAGCTCAAACAAAGCAGACATTGTTTCCAGTAGGCTGCGGAAAGATGTGAGTGCATGACCCATCAGAAGAAAGCGAGGAAAAGAAGCAGGGGTTGCATGAAAGCTGAGGCAAGCAAAGTCAGTTTGGATGATCCAACAAGGAAAGTGGGGAGTGTTCACCACAGAAGCGCCAAGGTCAGTAACTTTCACTTGGCCAATGTGTGCTTGCAGGATCTGAGCAGGCCTCTATTCAAAGGCCTGCAAAATGAGGACTTCACCTCCTCTGTACCAAAGGTTAGTCATTTCCTGAATTAAAATGTATCCCTTTTTTCCATTTAGCTTTGCTAAAGCCAGTGGAAATCAGGGCTGTATAAAGTTTGTGCAACACAGAGATCTGCGCAGTGTCCATAAAATACATCCTACCCAGGAAAAATTGAGGGTTTACTACAAAAGTAAAACTTAACCCTCTGTCCTAGGTTATAATATTGGGGTGTATTCCATTACCACCTCAAGCTGCAATTCCTTTTTTTTTTTTTTCCCTTATCTCGTGACTCAGATAAGTCCCTCCAGGAGGAGCTGTTCTTTTAGCCACATGACTGATAAGATCACAGCATTCCCTTGTGAGATGCTCCGCCCAGAGGGAGGAGCCAAATGATGCCATCAAGGATATAAGGGGTTGTGCAGACAGCAAGGAGATCCTCTCTTCCAAGGGGAACAGCTGAGACCTTCTCTGCATTGGACCTCCAGAGGGAAACTCCATCAGTCTACAGGACCCCTGCTTGGACAGAGCCGTATCTGCTACCACCACCCCAGCCAGCGAGTGTCAGGTTGTATCTCCGACTCTGTCAGTGGTTCTTCTTTTGTGCTATTATATATATTTGGTTCTTTGTTCCCTTTTTCTAACTTAGAGCCTCTCACTGGTTTTGCTTTTCAAACCAGGACACCCTCACAGCAACCTTCTCAACCAAGTCAATTCCCACCCTGGAGTGAAAACCACAACAATTTATTTTGATGGTACTTTGCAGAGACCTGTATTCAGTCCTGACATCCATCAAATCCCAACACAGATGAACTGACAGTACAAAACCAGCCTCAGACCTAAGGCCTCTCAAGGACTGAGGCATCCAGTGCTGTCAAGTCATCTGTTTCCCAACTGGAAGAGTTTCAATAGAAATAATATCACAGCAAAAGGCTGTTGTACAAAACAAAGGACCCACTTCAAAAAAACAAGCCAAGTCCATCTCAAGACTTAGGAAGCTATGGTCCAACTTCCTAAAGGACTGATTAATCTACAGTTTTCATTGAAATCAACAAAACCCATGGATTTTGCATGGGAAGGGGTAGAGGGGAGATGCTCAGTCCCCGCTGAAAAGCCAGAATGAAAACATTTTCTTTAAATTCAAAACAACTGTTTTTCTCCCAGCTTTTGTTTACAAAAGAGAGAAGTGTTTCAGCTCTGTCCTTTTTTATCCTTCCTCCATAAAATGTCAACCAAGCCTTGTGGTTGGGAAGCCTTTGTCCTTTTTTTTTTCTTTTTTTTTCCAAAAGATAAGTGTTGTGAGGCTTTGCTGAACAGCTGTAGCTGCTGTTGCTGCAGAGGGGAAAGGGAAGGAAGAGAAATTCTGCTCTTCTTCACCTGTTAGTGATGGGGCACAAGGCTGTTTGTAATGAGCTCGTTAGACCCCAAGGCTTATTACCAGAAAAGCAAAGGGGAAAATTGACTCATTCACCTCTTCAAGAGCAATTTAACAGTCCTAATCAGAAAACAAGCATCTAGTTCACTTCTACTTCTTCCACCTTGGTTCTTTTTATGTAAGACAGATGCCTCCTGTGGGTCACAGCCACATGTGGTCTGTATGCAATGAGTGAGCAATTTCCAATCCACAGAGTAAATGTCCTGTTGTCTTTTTCTCTTTTGATCTCCTGTTTCACTGCAGTGTTGGCAGCATCCCTAGGAAGCCACATGAAAAAATCACAGGCTCTGGGCTATAACTGAGTCTCTCCCTAAGTCCAGCTTTGCCAGAAGTGGGGACATGTCAGAGGTGAGATCTGCTCCTGTCCTCCACCAAACTAAGAGCTGTGGTAATAATGTGACCAATTGGGCAAATGATTTGCTTGTAATTAAAATCTTATGGATGCTGAAACAAAACAAAATTGAATAAAATTCACAGACTATGGAGACAGGAACTGTCTCTGAGTGTGCTGGCTGCCTTTTGCCTCTGTGAAAATTGACAATGTCTTAATGTTTAACCAAATTGAGAACATATTGGTAAATCCATCTAATTACAGGAATGGATGCACCTGCGTGAGAAAGAAGAGGTGTCAGCCCAGGGGCAACCATGAGTACTTGTTACAAAGCAGCAGGAGACAATACACTGCTGCCAGGAGCACCTGCAGAAAGCAGAGGAACACATAGCTCCATATACAACTAACAAGGGGGAAAAGGGATAAAACCAGTAAAGAACCAGTTCCCCAGTTCTTTCTGCTCCTGTTACACGTCCTTGGGAGCAGCAACACAACCTGCCTCACCCTAATCTACAATGAGGAGTCTCTCTCTGCAGCCTCAGATGTTAGCCTGATACATGCAGGTGGTCCCACGTACTCTCACCTCCCTCCTGGTGCCAGCACCAGCCCTTTGGCAGCTGCCATGCACACTGACCTGGTGAAAATAACCTGCACAGAAGGAAGA